GGCAAACGTTTAAAAATTATGTCTATCGGAAATAAAAATAAGACTCAAATCTTTTATTTTATTTGAAAGACAATGAGAAAGTAATGTCACACAATAGACAACATTTTTCATTAGATTCTTATAACAACTTACTGATTACTAATGATAATCAAGACAAATTTTTATCTTTTGTTTTTATGTGGATACTCAAACACATTCTTCTTACCATTTAGCTACTTTATCAAATAGAATATATTATATATTTCAGTGATTGTTTTCAACGGAATTGTGTACAACTACGCCACAGATTGAGTATAAGCAAGAATTATAATTTTTAACATCTATTTTTGCATCAGAATATCTATAAATGATTCATTAACCACTCTTTCTGACATATAACCTGCGATGATCTACTAGATAATCTTCGACAAGAAAGACGCATCAGTGCTGAGACTGATTTAACAAATATACAATTTTGTGTTTCTTTCAATTATGATCTCACTCTATACCGAGTATTAACAACTATATTTCTCATATATGAATCTAAATAAAAATTTACTTACGAAATCATAATTTTATATAAAAATTAAAAATTATGTAAAACATTTACATTGACTCTTTTAATTGCATTTATCAGTTCTTTTGACGTAATACTGAATATCTCTGCCGCGTCTCAAATATAAAAAAATACTATTCATAGAAACATTTTTATTAGCTACAAAATATTAAAATTTATCGTGCAAGACAAAGAATAGAATAAAATGGTGTAAGAGACACACGAGTCATTTACAGCAGTGGCCAAAAGTCCCGCCCCTAGAGAATCTCAGTCATTATAAAGGCTGGGGGCCTGAAAACTTGTATGCACATACTCCATCAAGAATACAGATTAGAGGCACGATTTCGCCTCGATTGCTTGAGTACAGAGAGAATTATAATGGATTACAATGGATGGCACTTACTTCGCCTTTGAACTTCATAACTATAAAAAAGATGGAGTTTGTAGGTCAGCTAATGGCTCATTATGTAGCACTTTATTTCAGCTATCCGCGCAACTAATTTCATTGAAGTTCATTAACCCTCTCTAGAACTGTGGCCGTTTTTTCTGTGACTATTGGTATGAAGAGACGTCATCTGGTGTCCTTTTGAGACAACAACGTTATAATAATTCCCTGGATGAAGCTTAAACTCTTAGAAAAGCTTCCTATGTAGTTGGACATTAGTACTTATAAGTTTCATAAGGGAACTGTGTATTGATGAGAAATGGCACAACTATGACCATCGTGTTGATGACTTCAAGGATTCCAAAACAATCAGAAACTCCAATATTCAAGCGAATGCACTCATCTTTTGAGTAAAAGAAGACCATAGCTTGAACTACAGCTTCATGCAGAAACATCAAGAATTAATCGTGTATCTGGTAATAAGCAGTGAAAAATTAAGTAGACAGTCCTTATTAGGTTAGAAAGCTCAACACGGAAATAAATACCATTTATCATGCTTCTCTTTATATTAAAGCAATTGAGATAGAATTCTGTCTCTGACCTGCATTCTTAATGGTGTATATGCAGACAATTTTTCAGGACTCCATCACTGACAATGGCTGAGATCCTCTGGGGGGGGGGGGGCTTTTGTTCGCTACTGTAAGTATAGGAAAATAGATAAAAATCCAAATAATATATCATTACTTACATTTTGCATTTCTCGAAGTTCGAAAGAAAATAAAGTGATGTAAATGTATAACAGTACAGGATGTTAAAAAACCTTTACGCCCTCCCCCCCCTTAGCGACATAATGAATCAATGATATAATCAACTATGTTATACCAGATTAAAGCTCATCAAAAACTGCATCGGAGGGTGTAATTAGAGTAAATAGTAGCTAGGCAATTATTAAAATACCTTGGATCACATATTAAAATGTCGTAAATTATACAATGTCGAGTCTACGGAAGAACCATTACGGCTCTTTCTTTACCCATAAATTACTTGTTGATGGATTGTAGTTTACAGCCGTTTGAAACGGTAGTAAATCTGTATTCCGCTGTAACAGAGTCTTACCTACTTGATGTAGTTCTTGTTCGCAATTATTATGTTGGACTCCTACGAAGCAGATGCATGAACTGGAAAACGTGTTTGTTGTTAATCGAAAAGGACTCACTACCCATAACTAACAACGAAGAGGAGAAACCGAGAAAAGGATGAGAAAAGGTTATATGCACGGACAGATAAGAGAAGAATGTAGAGAAAGGAGAATGAATAACCGTGGGCACTGTTTCAAGTTTTGTCATTTCTTTCCTTTATTGTATGTTTGTTGGTCGTGCAACTAAGTGTTTCGATAGCACTAAAAGTTGAATTAAATATTATTAAAATTAAAACAAGTCTGTGCCACATCAATTTATTGAATCAAAATGGCTAGTCTTCTTCATGATTCAGAAGAGCAACGATTTGTGGACAGAATTCGTTGCACCACGTACCGTGAAATACGCGATAAAATGATTGCAACAACAGGGAGCTCATCTATTACTCGTCAATGGATTTCCAAAAAGCTCTGCCGTAGTGAAGATTGGGTTAGACGACATTGGAATGACGCAATCGAAGAGTATTATACACAATTCGGACGTGGTCGACCTCAGGTACTCTCCCAGGAGAGCAAAAATATCATTACTTCTGCAAGTGGTGTCAGAGGAAGTGGCTCCCGAAAGGTTGCAAGGGAAATTTTGGAGAAAATAGGACAACGAGTGAGTCATGTGACTGTTCATAATGAACGCCATCGACAAGGATTAAAACCTTTCCATGTGATTGCAAAGCCATTGAAGACAAATACCCATATTGAAGATCGCAAATGGCTTGCAAACTTTGTTGCTGATTGGACTGAAGAAGATTTTCTGCATGTCGCACCTTCGGACGAATTTTATATTTATGTGGTAAGGAAACCAAACCACCAAAATGACAGAATTTGGGCAAAAAATATCGAAGATATCAGCATCGATGAAAGGTATCGTGAAATGATTCAGGATGCGAAATGCATCGGAATTTTTATTATGTTTACTGCAAAGAGATTTCTTTGGGTTCTGAAGGAACATGGACAATCTTGGGATGGAGCCTATTTTCGTGAAATTATTTTGCAACAACATGTAATTCCATTTCTTCGTGATCCAGCCAATGTTCTTGACACAGATGAAGTTATATTTCTTTATGATAAGGCACCCTGTATGAAGGCCAATGCAACACAGCATCTTTTGGAAGATGAGGCGATGAAGTTCTGGGGGAATTCAATTTGGCCTGGCAATAGTCCTGATATGAATCCAGCAGAAAACATTGGTGCAATTATCAAAGATAAAGTTGAAGAATTAATGTCAAGTGAAGGTCGTCAAAACAGATATAATTATGATATTCTCAAAACTAACGTTGAGAATATACTCAAGGATCTCGAAAATGATACGGATCTTTTTATTGATCTGCTGTGTTCAATGAGAAAAAGACTTGATGCTCTCAAAGCTGCTGGAGGAGGACATACAAATTTTTAAACTTTGTTATAAACGCTTATTTGTCAGCATTTTATATTGCTAATAAATTGGAAATTCTATGATTCACAATTTGATTCGATGAGTGGTACGATAGTTTTTTGCTAGATTCGAAATTGTATAATTTACGACATTTTCATATGTGTCCAAAATATTTTGATAATTGTCCTATCTACTGTTTACTTTAATTAGACCATTAGACGCAGTTTTTGACGGGCTTTAATTTGGTATAAAATAGTTGATTATATCATTGATCCATTATGTCGCTAAAGGGAGGGGCGTAAAGGTTTTTTAACACCCTGTATATATGACTTTATATTTTGTCATTTTAACATAAGAAAAGACGATGAGTAAAAGATACACACATTTTCTCCCGATAAACGCGTTTTCAACGCATTAGAAATGCGTTTTCAGATGCATATAGAGGCAAAAAATTTTTCACGTGGGAAAGTATACATGACCCATACGAATAAGGATAGAAGAAAAATGTGTAATAAGATGTCCAAATGGCTTTTATCTTTTTCTTTTGGTAACGTAAGCTTATATGTATCTGAAAGCATATCAATAGAAAGTCAAATTGTATTCACATTTTTAACTGATGCGTCCATCAATGGTTAATATAAATAGAAGTTAAAAAGTTGCTTCAACTCAAACGATTATTCGACTGTTATAAATAAAATAAAGGTAGAGCAAAAAATCATTAATTGACAGGTGAAGACAGATATTTGCTAAAACAAATCAATTCCGAGTTATGAGAATTAGACGAATCGTTTATTTCACTTGCTAAACAAATTATTTTAAATGTTGAGTGTAACGATCCCGCTTAAATGTATTGTATGCATGTTTGACCTTTCCTTACTTTGTCCTTATGATTTAGTCAAAACATTGTTCGAATAAATAAAATGCAAGTCGAGTTATTCGCCAAATATTATGAGCGCCTTCTTATATTATTCACTTTCCTAAACTAAATTGAATTGTTTAAATTTTATTTAGAAAAAAATAAATTTAATTTACATAACTAATCTATTTGAACTAATAATAACGTTTATTTAATTTATTTCTATATATCTAGAGCAGAAAATTAATCATGAATTAAAGATATACAAATATGTATTTTATGAAATATGATGATGAAACCACTGGTCGACGATGATTTCTAAAAGAAAAACAAAAAAAAACAAGTATTGAATACTAATATTTATTACTCTTACTTTTCTTGATTGATTAATGTTGTTTTTTTTGTTGTTGTTCCAATTCTTTTTCTTTATTTTTATCCATCTGTTTTTTTCGTCGTGTAAGTTCATAAATTTCATTTTGTATTCTTATTACAAATTCAGTAGGATCTATTAAAGATCTACACACAAAAAGGGAATTTATTTTTGTTTTTGCAATAAATCATCCATAAGAAATCCATTAACTTACCCATTATCTTCATTCACAAACTCATTTACAGGCAATTGCAAATGTAATTGAATATTCTCATCCTAGAAATTCAAAGATGAAGAATTGTAGGTAATGTATAACAGTTAACACTTACCGTCTTGAATTCAATAAAAAAATTTTCATTATCAAAATATTGTTTGGTATGTATGAGAAAATTCTCTCGAAAATAATCAATATCTATTGAATTCGTTTCGCTTTTTACCCAATCGATAGTTTCCTGAAACTAAAACATAAAAGTTAATTAACTGAAAAAAAAAAGACTATTTCTTACTAGGCTTATGAGCAAATCCGGTGGAAGATCATGAATATCTGTTGATTTTTTTTCGCTTTTTATCCCATCCATAATATTATTATACTAAATCAAAAAAAAGTTAATCAACTAAAAGAAAACAATTGATTCTTACTTCATTGTTCTTCACAATTTTAAAATTCATAATTAAAAAAGTCCAATGAACCATAACGATCAATTTTTCTTTCGGATACTCGTATTTGTTTCTATGTGCATGTAAAAGAATGCCAGCACATTTCAAATCACCCATCATAGATATCTATAAAATTTTTTAATAATTTCTGATATATATATATATATATATATATATAGAAAACAAGAAAGTTATGCTTTAAATTGTAAATAAGTAACAAAAAAAAATTCTATCCCAATAGATCTTAACTAATTATAAAGCCGATCTAATTTCATTTAATAATACAATTTTCACTATGAAAATCATATTTAAAATAGAAACTTTTCAACAATGTATATCATAAATAAAAACTTACCTTTTTTTTTTTTTACAATAACCTTCACTAATAGCAAACTTTAAATAACCTAAACAAAAAATAATATTAATTATTCATTTATACTTATTTTTGGTACAAAAAAAAACAAACTGTACTTTGATAAAATAAATGTAGGATAAGATTACAATGTTTATTACAGTATATTCTATATTTTTTCTTCTGATGTTTCTCTTGTTTATGTTATATATTAACATATATATATATATAGTCGTAGAAGAGTTATAATGCTCGACGAAATTATATCACTCGTCAGACAAATTTGACGAAGTTGTAATTATTTTATGTGACGACGTTATAACTTTATCAATTTTGTTCGACGAAGTTAAAATTAAAAGTAGGTCAAGCAGTGTAAATTCTTCGTCATATGTATATACGTCAGCGTCCAAATTGACAATACGTTCAATCTCAGATTGATTTAAACAAATATGACAGTCGAAATTGAACGCACATTCATTCCGATTATTCTTTGATAAAATGTGGAATACAAGTTCATTCTAAGATTGAACTGAAAATAGTCAGACGAATCTTGGATTGAGTTAGATCAATGCCAGAATAAAGACACTCTGTTCTGTATTCGATGTTAAGGATCGTGTTTGAACATTATATTCCTATCGAGTAAGTCAGACTTAACTATAGTGTAATAACAAAATATAATGAACGAACATACTGGACAAAAAAAAATGAATACAACTGAATGTGATTCATGTTGCTGATTGTCAG